GTAAGTGGATCTTCAGAATGGGCTACGCTATAACTAACGCGGCAAGGCTGAAATAAAGCTTGGTGGAGGTGTCTCTCAGTGCAACTTCACGTGAAGATAACAACATCTCTTGCCTTTCCTTCGGACCCACTTCCTTATTTCCAGCCAACTCACCGCCTCTCGCTTTTCTCCATCTCCTTTTCTTCTGTCGAACTGCGGGATGCCATCGAACCATTTCCTGTCTGCTTCTCCTCTAGAGTGGCAAGCAAGACCGACGTCGGGCCATCGAGATGCCAGGCTTGCACGAGTCCCCTCCAGGCCCTTGCCCGGGTTGGGTTCTTTTGACTGGCTCTGAAGTCCAGTGAGATACCGTCGCACGCACCTTGACGAACCCCATGAATACTAAAGGTCTGCTTGCGCTGTCAGTGTCTCCAGGGACCGTGAATGGTTCGTCGACTACACGCCGTTCCAAACCTTTGCCCATGATGCGTCCGGCAACAAGCTGGAAGCCATTGGGATTGGCGTTGTCGAATACCCAACCAACTGTCACTCAATACTCTGGTTGGGTCGGCCGCTACGTGTGGCAGACTTCGGCTCCGCGATGTCCTTCACATTCCCAGCGCCCTTTGCAACATTGTTGCCGGCCCTTGCACCGACGACTACGATGCCTTACACCCCGAGGAGCGGCTTGACGGGTTCACGGGCGACCGTCCGATGAGTATTGCCGAACACGACGGTCGCCGGCTGGCATTCTCTGCTCCCAGCCCAAGATTAGCAGCACTAGCCTGACCACGATGCGTCTCATCCTTCAGCACCCTCCTGCTCCGCCCTATATCGGGCCGTCGCATCTGTTTAGCTCAAATGTTCCTCTGATCGAGGCATTCTGGTCAATCGAGGAGCGGCAGAAGTGGGTTGCCACAAAGTATTCTGCCTCACATCGGGACAGCAAGAGCTTGGCCTCCATAGCTGCTCAGGGGGGGAAATGGAGCACCCGCGCCCTTAAAGTTTGAGCCTTACACATGCGAAGAGAGAAAATGGCTCAAGTCGAAATGGGGCGGCGAGTTCCACTTTCTGCAGGACCACGGCCTCAGCGTGTATGAAGACGACGACCGCCTAGAAGGGAGCCAGATTGCGCGAACAATGATGAAACACGATGATGACTTTGACAGAAAACAAAGGCGCAGGGAGATTACAAGGAATGGAAGGTACTACGGTCCGTCGAGAGAGAAGTAGCCGGTGTCCTTTACTGGTGTCAGTTGGGCTGTGGGAAATACGTCCAACACGTCATCCTCAAATTGCCCTCCACCAGGACAAGACGCCGGCGCACCGAAAGTTACGGTCAAGCCGAGCAGAGGAATCCAAGGCTTAATGGCTCACGAAGCCTACCACCGCGACAAAGTCGCAGCATCTGCGACTTTATCCACTCCCAGCGTTCAACTTGTCGAGCAAAACGGGGACCCTCCTGGGGGTACCCAAAGATGAATCAGTTTGGAAGCCCACCAGAGCGCACAACAAGCGACGGCATCTTCCTCGAGCCGAACCACGGAGACGGCGGCGGCAGCTCCAACGCCCCCGTCATCGGCCGTTACTCAGCGACCCGGACAAAATTCCTGCGGCCCACCGCAGAGCATGATCAAAGCCAGCGGAGGGGTCCAAGGGCTGATGGCTTATGAAGCTTACCACCGCGACCTAGCCACGGCGGAAAAGGAACGCAGAATGGTTGAGTGGAGCATCGCGAAGCATGCCCACAGATCGTCATAGATTATCGGTTGCGAAAGTTTGGGGTCAGATGTGGGAACTCGGTTCACTGGCTCTGAAGTCTGAGGGAAAGAGTGCTTTGGAAGGATTGTTCATGTTTCTCTTTTTCTTTTGACTTTTCGTAATCAGCGATTCAAATCAAGTATGACTCTAGTTTCCTGTTTTGCTTGTCGGCCAGGGATCGTCGTGTAACGATCGCCGCGGGAGTTTTTATCAACTTTGTTTTTAGATAATATTGTAATCACGAGCTTGCACGCACAATTCAAGATAGTTAGAGATAGGTACTATTTCCATAATTTATAATTTATAATTCATCGTTCATTTTGGATGATGTTGGTGGAGAAACAAATGACCTGTCGCGTCACGTCGGAATGGTGGGATGAGGTTGGCCAGTGTTACTGAGGTGTAAATCAGTTTTTATGATAGAAAAGCAAGAACAAAACCACTTGTTTGATGTGTATATACCCACATAATTAATGATTATCCTAGTCGTACACAGCTAGTCCCACTAACTGCTCATGCCGGCTCAAGATCTACTACAACCAGATTCCCCACTGTCATCCCTTGCCGTTCCACCGTTTCTTCTCTTCGCAGCGTGGGTACTCCTCTTTCCCGTCTGTTCCGGGAAGGTGCTGCTAGTTTCCATCTAGTGTTTGTTCGTACTCTTTGCCGCAGCCGTGATTCGAGCACTGCTTGATCGGGCGAGGACGGACAGGCGGGCCAAAAAAAAAAAAAAAAAAGGGGGGGGGGGGGGGGGGGGGGGAGCGATAGGAGGGAGGGAACGGCAGAGGGCGATGCGCGTCGCCCACGTCCCATATCTTCCACACCCTCCTCTTCATCTATCTCGTCGCTCTCGTCGTCCTTGTCATCTTCGTCGTCTTTATAGTTCTCGGCGTCGTCTTTAACGTCCTTATGGTTGTCCTTGTCGTCGTTATTATCGTCCTAATCGTCTTTACCGTCGTCCTCTAGCTCATTGCCAAAGTTTCGGGCGATTAACTCCCATCATGCCGATTTATCCTCGTCGCTGAGTCCGTGCAAAACTGACTGAAAGTTATCCTAGTATTTATTTTAATGGTCTCATATTAATTTTGGAGTCTCTCCCTCATTCACCATTAGGAATCGTCAATTTAGAGTCTTAGACGAAGGGGCAAGTCCTTTGGTTGAACCCATCCTTCACCCTCCCTAGGTAGCTTTGACTGTTGGCTCTACTCTCGTACTCTGCAACTATGGTGTACCTTGACGGGATTAGGATTCGGCTTGACTTGGGTTTCTCTCATTTTGCTCATTGGCTCGGGGCCGTCCTTCAATATTTGCAAGTTGGCAAGGCAACTTGTTTTGCAAGTGTTTGTGTCTTGGTGTATCAATAAGTGCATGCTCATTGAAAGCAAGGGGAACTTTATTTTCGCTTCAAATTCGAAAATCGTCTTCAGCTTTCCACCAAATGAAAACAGGACAACATACAACTCGCCCCATTTCGTGATGATAGGCTTAGGTATGTTTTGCTGCTTGTTTGTTCGCCCGCCAGCGCCCGCCAGCCGCTCGACAAGTGCGTGATCCACTTTTGCTCTGCAAGCCCCTTCCCTGTGGACAAAAATCAGAGCTTGTGCCCGCCGGCCAGCTTTCAGGAAAGAGGAACCTGGGAGTTGAGAGATGGAGTGGAGCGAATGGGGATGGAGCAGCAGCACGCACGTGCCCTCAGTGCAAGCTTTGTTGGGCCAACGAGTTACAACATCATTTCTGTCCAGTTCCCCGCCGTTTCTTTCCCCTCCTCAATCTCCAATAACAACCGACAGGAGACCCGTACTGCCACCTTTGTTTTCTTCGAGTACAGAGATATTCACCTACAGGCCCTCAAAAGATCAGCAAAATGCCGTCCGCAACGGCAACGTCTGGCTTGTGCCCCGATTGGATCATCTCCAACAATTCAGATGTTCAGTCAGTTTCCGAATCATTTTCTTCTCGTTTTCCTTATTCGTTCTTCTTGTCGATTTTCCTTCTCGATTTTCCCTTTTTGTTTCCAGTGGCAACTGAATGCTAACACCTGATTACGTGTGTCCCAGCGTCGCCAAGGATCGTGACTGGTTCGTCGACTATGAACCATTCCAAACCTTTGCCACCGGTCTGGGACAAGGCAAGATGGAAGTTGTCGGGGTTGGAAGCGTCGAGATCCCAGTCGAGACTTCGGGTCAACAATCCAGCTGTATGTGAGACACAACACCCAACTTTACTTCCCCATAAAACTATTGCTGATTTTATTTGTCTATCAAAACCAGGCTCTGACGGCGGAGGTGGCAACAAACTTCGTCTGCATAATGTCCTTCACATCCCCTCCATGCTTTGTAATATCCTCGGTGGTCCCGTGACGGGGGACTACGATAGCTTTCAGATTAGAGGTCCTGGCTTCACCAGCGATCAGGAAGCCGGTGCGATCACCAGCTCTGACAATCAGCGCGTTGCGACCCTCGCCAAGCTGCCATGCCATCTGTTCGGTCTCAAGCTGAGCGGTCCCCCTGCGGGAGGACACGTCCTCGGACCAACCTCTCTCAAGGCTGACGGTGGTTACCTCATTCACGCGTTCTGGTCGGATGCCGAGCGGCGCAAGTGGGCCGAAGCGCAGCAAGCAAGCAACGCAGGCCGCCGAGCTAGTGAGCCCCAAGGCTCGTCTTCGAGCAGCAGCCTGCCTTACACGGACGAGGAGAAGGACTGGATCAAGCAGAACTTTGGCGACGAGTATCATTTCCTGTTGATCCACGGCCTCAGCATCCACAAGGAAGAAGACCGCGAGGATGGCAGAACCATTGCGCGGACCTTGATGGACAGCGACAGCGCGGATGAGGACGAGGACATGGAAGATGAAGAGTCCGAGGATGATGCTGTGCATGGCAATGCTGCCACGGTCGATGGCATCTTGGCTGGCGTCGGCTTCACGGCGGAGGAGGTAGCGTTTATGCGGGTGGGCTGGGGCAGCACGGAGAACTTCTTGGCCAGCTTCGGGTTCAAGTTCTACAAGGAAGGCGATCTCGAGGAGGCGAAGGGTCTTGTGCAGGCGCTGATGGCTCCTGACACTGATGATGAGGATGAGGGATCTGAGTGAGGGATGTAACGTGACGTTTCTTTCTGACACGCGATATCAGGAAACATTCGCAAGACACGGATGGGGGAGTGGGGGAGTGGGGGAGGTTTGCGTAGCCGAGGCTTTTGCTGTGAATCGTGGGAAGGCCATGTAACGAACTTTTTAGGCTTAAACTTTCACAAACCAAATTGCCAGTTAGTACAGTGGTAGTATGTAGCATATCAGTCTCCTAGATACGCGACTTGTAAAAGCGCTAACCCCTGCTAAGGACCTAGGTTCGATTCCCAGACTAGGCCAAAAAGAAATCGGTTTTTTTTCTTGGTCCTCCGAACAGGACCTTACATAAGTAACACCACGTTTGCCGACAAACCCAACGATGTCGTCCTGAACTTCGGTTTTCCGCCCCGATTGGCTTCACTTTCTTTACGACGTCTTGAGCGAAACGTATGTGTCATACGCAACCCATCTGCTGCCTCCCTTCTGGTCGGTCTCTGGCCGACAAATGTGGGCCTCGAGGCTTGTACATACATGTAGGTACAACATGCCGACAAACTCATGACCACGGAATCCAGACAGAATGAATTCGGCTTGAAAAATTAAAGCACCGCCAGACCCTCATGGTGTAGCAATTGAGAAGAAGCCCCTGCGCAAGACAGAAGACACGGAAAGCACCCCAACACAGCTTAAGTCAAGGCGTGGCTGAAGGAGAACTTTGGCAACGAGCACCGCTTCCTCAGGACTTACGCTATGATCATTTGGAAAAAAGACGATAGGGAGGATGGTGGCCTTCTCATGCTTTTGTGCAAGGATGCTGCCACATAATAATGCAAAGGTACCTACACATTCTTTCAGGTGCTCCGGGCCTCACTTATCAGACCATGGGTGTTCGCTGGTTTTTAATGCCCATGTGACCACGTGACCACGAACAGGCCTGGGAGGAGAGAATGAATCTGCGTTCCAGATTCATTGTGCATCTGGTGACTTCGATTGCTTGCATATGAAAGGAATAAGACCCTTAATAAGGGAGTTCAAACAACGGGTAATGAATACCTAATGAACTGAGTAAGGTAGAAGATGGTGAAAGACTGATTTAATGCCTATGACCCAGTGTAGTCCGTGATTCAGAACATGCGGCTAGTAAGGAAACGACGATGCGCATGGTCTGAGCAGGCAAACTAACACCCCGTCAAACCCCAAATCTACCACACAATGCGCCTCCTCACTCGTCTAGAGATTGAGAATTATGTTGCAAACTCTTCACCCCAACAGGGTGTGGAGAGAAACAATAGGACTGGGTACGGTTCCGTTATGCTGGCACGAAACGCTAAGATGAGATTGTACGACGGGAGAAACAGATGTTGTTGGTCATGACATTCTGACGAGCCTGAAAGACTTTCACAAAAAGGTCTGCTCCGCAATCTGCCGTCCAGAGTCCAGTTCTAGAGATGAGATGAAGTTGAAAAGGCTTATTAAGGTTGTTTCTGGAAGCCTTCTTTTACGATGCTGTCCTGGCACATCGTCTGAGTTACAAGTCTTGATCCATCACATTCAGCACTTGATGCGGTTCCTGTTCTCTCCAGTGGGGGTCCAAGACAGTCGCACGAGTGCGCATATCATCTGGCGACCTGGTAACTGCTCTGCGTCGCTCCTTCCTACTGTAAACCCACGCGGAAAGGACGAAGGACACTCATGACGTCGACAATTGCCGACAGCGTACATCCATAGCAGCCTGCAATCTGGACACTGAGCCCTAATGCTCGATCTGCGCAGGACACCTCTGTTCTTCAACAGGCAATTTCTGCCATTGGCACATCTCGAGTGGCGCTGACTCTCCGTCTTCGTTCAATTGTGCTAATCCATCATTCTCGACAGTCACAATCCTGAGAGGAGCATATCTCCAAGCATCCCGACATACAGCTTCATCCAACACTTCACTTCCTCCCCGTCGCCTGTCGGTAAAAGACTTCCCCCCCCCCCCCCCCTCTGCGTTTCGTCCGAAGGCAAAAACTTGCCCATCTTTTCAAGAGGCCACGCGATACGCTGGGCGAGCGCGCTTATCGACCCTCCCGCCCTTCCCGCCCCCGATCCAACCATCGCTCCTTCCATTCACACCGAAGCATGCATTGAAATTTCTACTCCGCATTTGGACTACCTCGCTTTCCTCTCTTTTACGATCACAGCATCATTCCTAACACGTCGCATACCTAGTCTGCGGGCGTCTCGCTCCTTGCGCCGCCACATCTGGCACCTTTCGCGCCCCGCGTAAGCCGGAGTTCGTCCGAAGGCGTTCACTTATCTTCATCCCCGCCTTGCTCTCTTTATTCCTCGTTCCTTCTCCTTGCTCCCCCTCGGGTATCATTCTTATCCCCAATATTCTTATCTTTGCCGACGAGCATGGCGGATCTCGCCAACGCTGACGATACCCCCCTCAAGCACGAGTCAGACATTGAGGTCCCTAGAGGTCTCAGTCTTCCTCTGCACCAGTCTCAGGACCTTGGTGAAGTCGTCCAGACCACCCGATTCCATCGTCGCGGTAACGCCGGCGACGAACCCCAAGGTGACGACGTGGTGGAAATCTTGGACAATCGCGGCGACCTGATCCTTGTCGTCGGCACGCAGAAGAAGAAATTCCAAGTCTGCTCACGAACTATTGCCCGCGCGTCCGCCGAGCTCGAAAAGCATTGTCGTGAATCCACGCCCCACAGCGAGGACTACACTCACGACAGCGACGCCGTCGCGACACATCGGCGAGTCTATCTTCCCAAGATCGACCCTCACGCCCTCCATGTTGTGCTCATCATTATCCACGGCTCGCCCACCCAAATCTTCCCAAAGCTCACCGACCTTTGGCTCCTGCGCGACGTGCTCATAGTGACGCACCATTTCGACATGACCGACTGCCTCGCGCCCGTCGCTGCCAAGTGGCTCAAGAAGACCTACGACAAGGACGTCTTGCGCCATGAGGCCGTCGCCGCTCAGTTGTGGATTACCTACCAGCTTGGCCACCTGGGGTGCGTGAAGCAGACAATCACCAATATGGTCATGTCGGCAAGGTTGAACCCTTCTGGCGAATTGATTGGGTACGGCGCTGCCGACACCCAGAAGTACTGCAAGCACGACACACTCAAAGCGCTGGGTATTCTTGGTAAGCTTCCCGCTGTGGATATCCAAGCGTCTTGTGCAATCGACTGACATGGGACGCAGATCAAATCCAAGAGTGCCGCGGCAACATCATGACCCATCTTGTTCGCATGGTCGAAACCGCTGTCGAACGGCTCACACGACCCCCGCTGCAAAAACGCGGCGGCGCTGCTCAGCCGACGGAAAACGGAGACGACGTTATCGACACGGGAGCGGTGTGCCGGGCCAAGTCATCATACATACGCTGCGACTGCGCGATGCTCGGCGCCATGCACCGAGCCATTGCCGCGGAGGGCTGGAACAGCGTTGATCTCAACTGTAGCCCCCAGTGGCTGTACAAGAAAATTCAGAAGATGACACGCATGGCGCAGGCTTGGGCGGAGCTGCCGGCTGCGCATGCCGAATGCGATCCCTTTGGCGGCCAACTCCCCGATCTGATGGATATTTGCCACGCCGCCGTCGAGACCATACCTTTTGACGAGTCTGAGTTCGTCAAGCGCGGCAACGCGGTTGGCTTTGAGAAGGTTGGACTTCATTCCGCATGGTTTTTTGACCACTTTTGGGGCTTTGATTAACGAGATGCAGATTGGTCAGGTTCACAGTGGTTATCGTGGCCGCTAGGGGCAAGCTCCCGATGGCTCCAGCTGCGACCCGTCGTTTTCAGTTGACTTTCTGGTGCGAGTTGCTTTTCGATTACAGTAAGTTCACTCGAAGGCCGCTTTCTTTCCGTCAGGGGGGCAATCTGGAACAGGTCAGTCTCAGTTTCACAACATCCCAGCAATAGGTGGCAATTCGGTTGGCCGGCGATTTAACATGGACAACCATCTCTCTCTATCGTTGGTATCTAGGGGCTGGGAAGTTGTAGGTGAAGCTGGAAGTTTCGTCAGATAGACAATGTTTCCATTTTGAACTTCAGCAAGGTCAAGGCTAGCAATGACCAATGCAGCTGCCGGCCATTTCATAAATGGACAAGTATTCTTTGACATCAGTGCGGCTTCCTAGACATGACAGTGCTTTAGAACTGGTTTCAGAGACATAGGGGAAATAAAAGACTTCAAAAAGGAGAAAGGGGGGGAAAAATGTCTTGGCCAGTCTGGGAATCGAACCCAGGTCGCTAGCAGAGGTCAGGGTAATTACAAGTGGATTCCCAGGGAACTGATGTTGCTACATACTACCACTGTACTAAGTGGTTCTTTTTGTCGAAATATCAATTCAAAAGGGAGGCCATGTAGTCACTTACTGGTGGGAAAGCTTAGGATGGGGATGGGAATGGGAATGGGAATGGGACGGGCCTAGTTAGACAGGTGAATTGGAAGCCAATCTGTGCGCGCTCGTCTGTCTGACTTGACTTCTTCCCCCACATCCCCCACATCCATTACCCACTCACCCAAGGCTCTCTCTTACCAGCCGCTGCTGCAGCTTCTTCGCCTTGTCCGCTTTGCTCTCTGTACATCGTAGAGCTTTTCTTGATCCATTTTCTCTGTCTGTCAAGAAGGAAAGCAAGTGGGATTTTTTTTTTTTCGATAAATATTATTGCACTGATTGCACGTTGTCCACACGTGTGTGTGGCTGAAAGGAGGGGCGTGGGTGGTGGTATCGTGCGTGTGTCGGTTTCCCCTCTTCTTTCGCCCGTCACTGTATTAAATTATCCACTCTTTCCTTTTGCTTGCTCCGTCGGTCGGTCGAAAGTTGCCCAACTCGGATGTGCATTTGCAGCCGCGCACGTTTGGACTCACTCCTTGGCTCTTTTTGCGTGTGTTCCCTTGCATGAGACGGGATATCATTTTGCCCGAAACACCTGTGGCGGTTAACTGTTTGGGTAAAATAGGTCGTAAATATCATTCCTTCTTTCCTTTGCTCCGTCGGTCGATAGTTGCTAACTTGGAGGCCATTTTGCAGCACGGTCTGGACACACTCCATGGTTCTTTTGCTTGTGTTTCACTTGTCTCTCACTCTCATCAACGCAATCTACATGTTATTTTGCCCCCCAGAACCAATCACACATTCTTACACCTTCTGCTCGCCGCTTCAATCCCCGTTTCAGAGGGTATAGGAGGGGGGAAAAGTCGAGGTCGCCCCCGCGCCCGGCGATGTCGTGTTGGTGCACGGCAGCATGTTCTTAGTGTAGCCCCCTGGTCCCATCCAACCGCCTGCATCCCCCATGTTGGCTGACACACCATCGCCAGTCTCGCCTCCGTCCACAATATCCGGCGTCTTCCGGCCCCCATCAACGCTAACGCATCAGCCTGGTTGGTTCAGAGCCGTAGAATCCTGCTGTGGGTGCAGCGACTCTTGTCCGCATGTTCTCGGTGTCGTCGTCGGCGTCGTCATCCGTGGTGTACCCCGAGGGAGTCGGCCCCCACGTCGTCGTCGCCCTCGTCGTCCAAATAAAAGCAGCCGTCTTCCTGTTGTGCTCGCGCATCATCGCCCGGTCGTCGTCACTACTGGCGGCGATGCCTTATGGGGCATGTCTCACATGCCACGAGTAGCACCTGGAGTGACAGTAGATGACGGGGGAGGAGCTAGTGTAGATGGATGAGGCATGGGAGGACAGTGCCGACGCGCGTTGAGTCTCACCGCAAGCCATCCATGCCAACTTCGATCCCGTCTACAAGCCGTTGACGCACGTCGAGCTGTTCCGGCGGTGCATTTGGCCGAAAGCTGCACTAGCGGCATTGGGACCCTTCTGTACGGTCGCGCGAGGACTGATGAAGGAGTAGGAAGATGAAAAGCCAAGTCATGAATGACATGGTCTCCAAGGCGACAAACCAATGCCGGAAGCCTTCGAAGGGGGGGCAGGGCTGCCGATAAACTGCGCGCTGCTGGGCGGACTGTGCAGAGCCAGGTCTGCCCCTAATTCGACTCCACGACAAAGCAGACTGGAAAGGGACAGCCTCAACGCGAAGCAAAGCTGATCCGTGTACGTCGTGAAGCTTTGGAAGGCTGTCGCATAAATCAGGTCCACGGCCACGAGGATTGTACTTCGTGGCTGAGTTCGGATCTTGAGGATCTCAAGACAAATGACATGGCTGTCGGGCAATGGCTGTGTTTACAACGACCGAAAAGACGTCGAACACAGTTGCCAGACGGCAACTGCTTTCCTGAAATGCAAGTCTCTGACGGGGCTCCACGATCGACGATCTGGCAGCAGTTTCTTTTCTCTCCTTCCTTCGCTTTCTTCACCTTTTTTTTGGGGGCTTTTTCGGCGGAACTACAAGACCAAGACCCATCAACGGCCAGCCCTACCAAAGATAGGAGCTTCGGTTGCCCACCTGTTCGAGTGGGATTCCTGCGACAGTAAACTGTAAATACCATGGAAGGTCAGCAGAGTTAGGTACCCAGAAGGTGGGAGTATCCACTTGGTCCCTCGGCCGCTGACGAACATTCACCCAGATCGCACTTTCCACGGTTTAGACTCGGCTCTCGGCGAGGCACGAGATGGCACTTGCTTGTTGGACAAAATCATCTCAGCGCCATTGGAGTTCGTCTCAACAGCCTGAGCCTTCCATGTTAGTGCCCGTTCTGATGGGATTGGACATGCATGCATGGGCTTGCAATTGCCTTTGGCTGGCTTGCAACACCCGGCAACGTTGGACGTTGGCTCTTGCCCGACGCTTCTTTCCCATCGAAGCATGATGATTCCTGGCTGGATGAAACTGTAGTTAACATACGGACCATCTCAACGGAAAGACGCACTTTCCCGTTCCAAACTCAGCCTGCCATGCCTTCCCGACGTTTTCGTTTCTGTTGCTTTTTGGAGAGATGGGCCGAATTTCCCAACGCAACGGCGAAAATCTTTTGAGTTTCGGTCAACAACAGATTTTGGTTAGCAACAGAGTTACGAATCATCCATCAGCCTACTGAGACCAGCTAGCCTCTTCAGTCATGAAGAGAAAAGAGAGACGAGGCAGCTCTGCGATGAGCATCGATTCGCTCCTAAATCCGCTCTCGGTATCCGCAGAACAGCAGCCTATCACGCCGCCAGCTGCAAAGGTGGCAAAACCGACCGCTTCAATGGCCACAGAGAGCTCGCAACTTTACGGGCGGCCCCACATACCTTCCATTCGTGACGCAGTTACTCAACAAACAATTCCAGGCTTTCCATTGCCTCCATTGCCTCACGTTCTGCCATCTTACGTTAACAGTTCTCAGGAAAAGACACCGCCTGAAGACTACGCTAATAAACCGCCTGTGCTCGCCCAGTCCGAGGCATGTGGACAGCCTATCTCGTCTTCCCCCGCAAATCCGGCTCTGGACTCCTCGTCAGCCGCCGCCCCCATCGCCCGGCCCGGCAACTCGCCTGGCGACACGCCTTCACATTCCACCAAGCCCGACATGGGTTACGGAACTCCATCCAGTACCCAACTATCCAAGGCCCCAGAATCTCGAGAACAAGGCCCTAGGGCTGTCAAAACTGGTGGCTTCCTCCCCGGTCCCCCGATCCCATATGGTGGCACACATGAAGTCGGGAAACTCCCTCCAGTCAAGCGAGGAGAAATATTTCTTTGGAAACCGTTCGCAAACCCCAACGAAGTCGAGTCCCCGTATAAGTTTCTCCAGACACCGAGCGGGCCTAGACTCGTCAATACCGCAGAACCGGATAAAGCCAAGGATAAAGCCAAGGATACTCGATCGGGGTTTTCGGGTTTCTTCGGCAAAGATGGGTTTGTGCAAGCGAGATGGCCAGCGTCACGACAGGAGCTTGGCAGGCTTTCCAGCAAGCCATCCCCATTCCATGGGCTTGAACCCGGTGTGCGCCGCGGCCCTGGCCCCTTCCGCCCCACGAATCCTGTCCCAGCCCATTTCTTGAACTTGGCCGACGCTCGGCCCTGGGAACCCCTAGGATATCCTCACCTCATCGACCACAGTCGTTTTGACGGCAACGCGGACTTGACGTCCTTCCGCGCCTGCGACGCCATTTTCACTGTCCTCTACAACTACAACCCAAGATTTTGCAGATTGTTCTTCGCCCAGAGCCCGCAATCGCTCGAGTTCAGGGTCATTGACCGGAGATTCGGACGCCACGATCCTGAAAGCCACCTAGGCCTCCCCACTTGGTTCATTACACGATACGGTGACCAAATCCGGGTAAGTACTTGGATCTCTCTCTCTCTCTCTCCCACCGAAAGTCCACTTCCGGCCCACAGTGATACAGGGGCTAAAGAGAATGCTTGAAACAGATCGAGTATTTCCCAAAGAATCAAAAAAAAGAGAGCAGAGGCACTGTTGGCATCATGTATGAGAGAATGCTCTCGGGCAGATACATACCTCGGAGGTTGAAAGACGAGGGCAGTGGGGCCGAGACCCTAAACGACGTCGAACGCATGGAGGAGTGGGGCTCCTGGATCGGAAAGGAGGCACTGCTTGAGGAGTTATACTCGCGCAAGCCGCACTTCAAGGTCGAGATCTGGGTCAACGGGAAAATGTCGCATCCGGACTATCCAAACGAAGACAAGGGAGAAGGGGGCCGGCAGAAGGAGAGAGGAGTCCACGAATACGACCAGCCGTACGACCCCGGAGCGGGCGGCGGGCCAGGAGATACTGAAACGCTCCCACCCACCGACGCCGAGCTCGAGGACATAAACGACATGATGGGGTCGCTCTGGTCAGATGAACCTTGACAAGTCTTTGCGGCGCTAACGATATTTCCTTCACAGCGAGTACATGCGCAAATTCGTCGTGACAGCCAACGAAATTTTGTGCTTTCTTGGATTCTATGGAGCAGGGCACAGGCTTGTCTGATGGCGGAGATCCCATCCTGAAGAACTTCCAGAATACGGTGAAGTGGCTTGTGGAAACCCTTGTCCTCCGCAAAATTGTGTAGGGCCGCACTGGTTTTGGAATATGGGTGGTCTGGGGCGTGTTGTGAGGCGTTGGAATACCCAGTGGGACCACATGCCCAAAATTCAGCGTTGTTGGTTGATGATTTATTAGGTAACAGCGACTCAATCTACAGCTCACCGTGCATTATTGAATCGCTATGCAGAGTTGTGACAGGTCTCCTTTTTTTCAGCCTCAGACCAGGCCAGTCACATCGGATGGGCGACTGCCTGCCTGGCCATTGTGTCATCCGACATCCCGGTCAGCCTCAAGATGCGATGGTGGCTGGTTGCACAGGAACGAAGGCGAGTTTGGCCAAGCCGGACCGGTTGTCTCTGTGGCACAACTTTTTTGTCATTGCAATGCAACGCT